CTTCATTGATCGTGTCTATGGTGAAGGTTGGTGAAGAACTTGACATGGAGAATTTGGAAGGATCTTATGAAAGGGGATTCAAAGTTATTTCCATCTTAGTTTTTTTTTGTCAAAGTGGTTAAAGTGTAAATAGGAGGAAATCTGATTAAACTAGGAGATATCGAATTGAATCAAAGATCTAATTATGAAAATTCGTAGAAATCAATAGTTGTTTTCCAAAAATGACACCACTCTTTCATCCCAGAATCAGAATTGTTGATGCATATCCTTGATATAGGGGTGCCAACTACTTCGACGCGGTTGTGCGAGGTGGACCTGCAAGGTTAACACTTTAACACTAAATCAGTTTTACCTAAAAAATAATAAAGTGAATAATGAATTAAGTCATACCTTTTTCTATTCAAAAGTGATATTTATGGAGAGAGCGAATATTGAGATTGAGCCCGACCAAAACAGTAATAAATAATTAAATATATATTTTTATAATTTTTTTGTTAAATGGTTCATAACAATTAAAAAATTGTTATCAACACATTTTTTGATTTGCGCCAAAGCATTATAATTGGAGTTAAATGTGTAGGGGCAATTCCGAGGAGAGAGAATTTTACTTGGGACACACCTATATGAGAGACACACCACTTGTCCATCTAAAACCTTAAGGTGATAGATGAGTGAGTTCTCTCATATATAAGTGCTCAATCTTCCCTTTTATAATCAATGTGGGACTTCTTCCTCACACTTGATTCTCAACACTCCCCCTCAAGTGTGAGTCACAATGCTCCCCCTCATGTGGAATGACTCTCTTCCACATACACTTGTACCATCGCTCGATACAAGTTAGCCGGTCCCTATCTCGAAACTTAAGGCTCATGATACCATTGTAGGGGCAATTCCGAGGAGAGAAAATTTTACTTGGGACACACCTATATGAGAGACACACCACTTGTCCATCTAAAACCTTAAGGTGATAGATGAGTGGGTTCTCTCATATATAAGTGCTCAATCTTCCCTTTTATAATCAATGTGGGACTTCTTTCTCACACTTGATTCTCAACAAAATGTACTCAAACTTCATTAGTATTATATGATAAATTATAATTTTTTTAAACATTCAATATTTTGTTAGAAATTTTTTAAATTATTTATATATACTATATTGTTAAAAAATATTATGTATCTTTCACATTTGAATTCTCAAAAAACAATTATAAATTTATTAAAAAATATAATAAAATAATTATAAAGATAAAAATATAAATTATTAATACAATTTATCATTTGTTTAAGAATGAAATATATTTTTTATTAAAAAACTTTCTCGGTCTCATTTTTTAACCAAACATAAATAAAATAAAATAAAATATCTTACCACTTCTCTTTTGAACTAGACAATCTTTAAATCTTTAAAGTATCTCCATTGTTGAAAATTTATTGATTCTTAAACCTTAAGTTTGGATGCTTATTTTTTTTTATTATTGAAGTGTGATAATGTGCTAACATTGACTCCTTAAGTTTAAGGGATAGAGTTTGTTGAAGCAATTTCAAAAATTAAAACTTAACATTAAATATTTTTTTGTCAATTCAGTTAAAATAGTAATGCAAGGTGATTGGCTTAAAATATAGTGAAAATAAACAAATACAAATTAGTAAGTTATTTTTATAAATGGACGAGTTATATATATATATATTACTTATCACTGCTAATGAAACAAAAATAGTTGAGATCAAATAAATGTATTTATTATTATTATTAGAATAAAAATAATTGAAATTGTATATAAATTACTTAAATGAAAAGTGACCATTTAAGCCCACAAAATATAACCAATAATAAAAAGTATTTTTCAATTGAAAATGCTCTAACATAACACATTTGAATTTGAATAGTTAAAATGAATTACAAGAAGTGTAATATTAAATAACAAATTTTGATTGATATACATGTTATCATGAGAGTAAATTATCCTTAAATTTATACTTAAATGTATTTTTTATTTTTCTATAATAAATTTCCTAATTTTTTAGTTCCTTTTAAAAAAAATCAGTAATTAGGTCCCCTATTTTATTTTTGGTGAATTTATGTTACTCTCTTGTCATTTGTCTCATATTTTAATGATATGACACTCCAATATGAATCCAGTCACTTGTCACATCATTTAATAATATAATTATTCATTTTTTATTTATTTGTATTTTTATTTTTCCAAAAATAATTTATATAACTATAAAGAATATAATAACATTAAAATTAGGTTATAAATTTGTGCCATGTCCTTCTTCTTCGTTGCAAATCTTCCATACTTCTTCTTCGTTGTAAAATTTTAAACAATATTCATCTTCCATACTTCTTCTTTCTCCTTCGCTTACATTTCAGTCTTCCATACTTCTTCTTCCCTCTTCGTTTTGCACTATTGTGTGCTGAATATGTCTCGATGTACGAAAGCTAGTAGTGTCGGAACTACGCGTTCATGTCATTTTTGAAGCGAGTGCATGTGTGGGTTTGAAGCTCCGTTGATGACTTCATGGACCGATTCCAACCCAGGTCGACGTTTTTTTGAGTGTGGGATGTATAAGGTAATGTCTGTGTCTTATTTATAAGTTTTTTGGGTGTGAGTTTTATGTGTTTGGGCGTCGATTCATTCATTTGTGTTGTTTTACTTACAGGTACAAGGTTATAAAAGGTGTAGCCATTTTATTTGATATGATGATGTCATGTATTCAAGAGCTAAGGAGATTATCACTTCACTACAAAAAAAGTTGGATCAAGAAAGGGAAAAAGTGGATGAAGTTAATATCAAAGTAACTGAAGTGAAGACAAAGTTAAATTCTATGAACTTAATGATGAAATTCTATGCTTCAATGACATTTGTTTTGATAATATGATTAGTGTTATCAACTGTAATGAAGTAGTGTTTTCAATTGGTGTAAACTTGGGCTTAAGTTGTTGTTGTCGACTTAGGATTAGTGTTGACAGTTGTTGGATAGTTGTAATCAAATGAGTATATTTGTTGGTTTGAAATAAAATGGAGATGTTGTTTTTTATTAACCTTGTACTAGTTTAAAGTTAATTGTAATGAATATAACTGGTGGATTGAACAAAGTAACAAAAATTTATCATAATTCATAATCAAAATAACAACTTCATTAGATCCATTAGCTTGTTTTTACAAGGCAAGTTAACATGATACATACACAAAATAATATCATGACATAAGACCTTAATAAGAAGAACATAACTTAATGACAAAATATCAAAATAAGATAACATAAGTTCATGACAAAAACATGTTCATGACTTTACAAAACACTTAATATTATAATCATGTCCTACAACTACTCTTGATTTGGTTGTGTAACAGGAGAACCCTGAGATGATGTGCCAATTTTAGTTACAACCTTAGTCTTAGTCTTTGCCTTTGCCAAGATGATACTATTTAACAGGATGATGCACATGATGATACCATTTAACAGGATGATGCACAAGTGTGTCCTGGTAGTGAATTCTGAGCCTAACTTTTTGTTCAATAGGTGGTCTGTATATGACAAATTTCAATGTTAGGGTTTAAGATTAAACAATTCCGGTTTACACACATTGGGACCACAATCAACTTTTAGAATAAACAAATAAGGTTAAAAAATATTGGGACCACAAACAATATTTTGGGAACAAGACACTTTAGGACTACTTGCATAGACATTAAAACAGAAATACATACATGAAACAAAACTTGTCATCTTCGCACGTCTTGGATGAAGGTGATGGTTGATACATTGTAACAAATTATGGTTTTTGCTGAAGATCTTCTTCAATTATGAAAATTAACAGTTTTAGGGTTTCCACTTATAGAAGATGAACAAACGACAATGGTGGAATGAGAAAAATATGAGGGGTTGGAGTGAAGTAATCTTATTATATTTAATATAATTACATAAATTATTTCTGACATTAAAAAAATTAGATATACAAATAAAAAATGAATAAGAAAATGTTTTTAATGATGTGGCATATAACTGAGTTCATATTAAGATATCATGTCATTAAAATATTAGATAAATGATCAGGGACCAAAAAAATTTCACTAAAAATGAAATACGGGGACCTAATAACTGTTTTTTTAAAAAGGGACTAGAAAGTTAAGAAACAAATTATAAGGGGACTACAAGTGCATTTAAGTCCTAAATTTATAAGGGCTAGTCAAAATACATAATATTGAGGGTAAAGTTCTTGGTCATCCCTTGTAAAATTGAGGGTAGTTTATCCTCAATGATATATACCAATGAAATTTTATCATATAAAATTAATTTTTAAAATCACATCTTATACCAAAACCTTAAAATATTGATTATATGTTTTTTCTCACTTGTAAAAAGTTCAATATCCTCTTTTCCATCTAATATGAGAATTATTACTGACATTTAACATGTCAACATCTTACTACTCAAAAAAAATCAAATTATATATTATTGATTTCATTTTGATTTTTTAAGATTTTAGATTAATATGTGATTTTAAAATTGTACTTTATACGCAAATCTAGATACATTTAATATTTGTATTATAAAATTATCCATATATTAATTATTTAATATTATTAGTAGATAACAATTTAATCGAAAATATATTAATAATTATATTATCTATTTTATATGAAATAAAAAAAATAAATACATTCAATTGTCTTTCTTAATAAATGTGAAATTTTTTTTTTTTACTTATAAATTAGTTTGAAAAAATATGTCATAAAAGATAAATTAATTTAAAATTTAAAGGGTAGTAAAAAATTGACCTAAAAAAGCAGTAGTGCTTACTATCACGTCATAATGGAAAATTAAACTTTAAACGCATGGTTATCAAACCATCCACCTGTTACTGCTATTGGCCGTGGCACACATCGTCGCCATCATCATCCCCACCTCTTATCAAACCATCCAACGGTCAAACTTCACACTCACATTTCCCGAAACTAAACAACCTACGTGTCCCTCATTAGCCACTACCAATGTGCACTCCTCTTTTCTTCATTGGCTCTCTTTTTCTTTCTAGCTACTTTCTCCCATGCTATCGCCACGTTTACTTCATCAACCAATCCCATTCTTCCCACTCTTCCCTATCTTCACTGTTCAAACACGTGTTTTTTCTTACACGTGTCCCTTTCCCACCTTTCTATAAAACCAACCCTCGTTTCCATCACTTCATCGTCTGCATTACTATTAGACGTTTTGATTCCTTCTTTTATTTTACATCACTTGCTCTTACCATACCAAAAATGATACAAACAAAAACAAAAACACTGAGTTCCTTGAGTTGAGAGAGAGAGAGAGAGAGAGAAAGATAGCATGGACGGAAGAGGAGGTTGTTGCATAGTCAGAAACTCAACTGGTGCATATGATAAGTCAACCATGGAAAGAATAATGCTTAGATTTCGCCCTATCGCTCCGAAGCCTTCAGTAGCCGGAACCGGAAACACCGCTTCTGAAGGCTCTTCAACGGAGAGCGGTGATGCTTTTTACAAAGCCGGCAGAGCTAGAAGAAAGTACGTTAAACAAAGTATTACAACTGAGAAACGAAGGATCCGCCGGAAGAAAACCGTTTATTCAACGGAAAATAAGCATCCGGTGCCGGTTACTCTTCCTTTACTCCCGGAAGCACCCGATCCGAAGGAATCTCCGGCGAGAGATCTAACCCTAACGGCAGAAAGTAAAAACATGCCACAGTGTCAGTGGCTGAGTTTCGAGAACCACGACAAGGTAGTAACGATGGATCCGGTTACGAAGTGCTATTATTCGAGCGTGACGGTGGAGTGCGTGATGGACGCGTGGGTGGAGGGTGAGGGTTTAGGGAGTACGGACGAAGAAAGGAGAATGAAGATGAGCATGGACACGTGTCCGGGGTTTATATCGGACGGTTACGGGAGAGTGACGTGGACGAACGGAGCGTATAGGGAGATGATGGGTGAGGGAGGTGTGGTGTTGTTGATGAAAGCAAGTGGCGTGGTTCTGTCACCGTCGTTCACGTGTAGGGTTAGAGTGGTGCAGTCTGAATGTGGGAGCGGAAGGGAGAGAAACTCTCTGACGCTCCCTTGTGATGTGTGGAGAATGGATTTTGGTGGGTTTGCATGGAGATTAGATGTTAAAGCTGCTCTTAGCTTGAGATTGGGTTGCTAAAATCACTCCTTTTGCAGTTTAATTTCCGTTTTCATCTTTTTTCTTCCAACAAGTTAAGACTAATTTAACCCAAAAAAAAAAGAAGTTAAGACTACTGTTCACTCTAGTTCGGTGTATTTAGTAACGGTAGTTCTATCTGAGTTGAACCATAAATGTATAGAGTACAAAACTAGCTTGTTTGATTGTAAATTAGAGCAAGTAGATTTGTTGTCTGAGTTTGTTGTCTTCTGTTCCTTTGAGCTTGGAACATCGGTTAGCCAATGAATGGGTGCACACACTACTATGATTATCGTTTTGTAATTGTTTATTTAATGCCTTAACTCAACTAGTAGTAGATGCAATTGTACCTTAGCTCCTTATGGTCTCTTTGATTTTTTTTTCTTCTTAATAATTGGAATGTTTAATTAATTTTGATTTCTACTTATAGTGTATTTTGGCCCTTTGATTTAATGAGAAATATAGTTAAGATGGTAAAATAAAATTTTATTAATACAATTTACTAAATTATTATTATTGTTTCATTTAGGAATAAAAATGAGATGAAATAGAGACTTTGTGATGACGCGAGTTTCAGGGTAAATTTGCAACGTTTAAGTCAGCAATTAAGTCAAAAATAACATGAGAGGGAGAATAAATTGAATAGGTGAAGTGATCTTTGTATAGCATAGGTGGTTAAAATTGTCCGCCTTAGAGAAACTGTTAAATTTAAGATAAAAATATAGAATTAGAAACGTAAAATCTATCAGAAAAAGAAAAAAAATTCTGAATTTTATAATCACGTCAAAAGTCGAAAAAACAAATTCTGAATTTTATGATCACGTCAAAAGTCTTTAAATAAATAAAACAAATAAGTTTTAATAGGTCTTATTAGTCTTTAAATTAAAACATAATTAAATAAAATTAAAAATAAAACAGAAATTGATGAAATTGTAGAAAATAGTAAAATATTGTTTTTGGGTCCGAAACGAACTCTAATAACTTAAAAATCTATAGGTCACTACAAAGCAATGAGTTAGACTCCTGGATTGGTTTCCTTTGACATCAGACGCTGAACTTGTGTAAATTCTATCGAATTGGTTCGACACACGACTTCTGCTTCGATACACGCAGCCAGTCTTCTTACATCAGTCTCTTTCACTTTTAAAGAACTCGACTCCAAGTTCTTTTTTTGATAAAGAGCTTTATTTGATTGCAATTTGCTGTAAGTATCAACTAAAAACCTCTCCTTATGCAAAAATGCCATCACGTGTTCTCCAACATTGAAAACTTTAAATTCCATGCGTTTATCTTGCATAGGAGGGAAATCTTTTGGTAGTTCCTCTGCGGCCATCTCATTGAATTCGTTAGAACCCCTAACAATTCTTCTAGAATTGTTGTTTTCTCCTTTACAATACTCATCACCTCTTTAGTCAGTACTGTACATAAAAATTTACTTTCTTTAATAGCCTCATCAAGCACTTTTTCACTCGGTGTCATCACCAAGAAAGTAGACTTATTTTCTCCCGAATTCTTATCAAAGTGTAAAACATGAGTCATAGCAATTTTATGTGTGCTCCATATAAACATCATCACATTATCCTATTTTTGATAAGTGATATCATTATCAAACTGCCATGGTCTACCAAGTAAAATATGACAAATATCCATATCAAGATTTCTATCCTTTACATCATTGATTTTCAAATGTTCCAATGTAATATAGTGGGAGAACTGACTTGGGTGTTTTGCGTTTTATCGCAAATATTGCGGATAGCAAGATTCGCCACCGACTTTTCTTTTATCCAATAAATGAAAGGGTGAAAAGAACAGAAAATACCTTTTGAGTATTTTTTTTTGAGTTCGGGGGATAGGTTATGAAAAGGGAAGGTGTTAGCACCATTTACATCCGTAGTTATCTACAGGCTCTTAGTTGCTTGATCACTTTGAAAATGCTTTGATTGAAATGTGTTTGTGATTGGTGTGAGTTTGAAAATATTTTGAAAACGCCTTTGTTTCGGCAAACTTTGTAATGATTCTCGTCTCTATAAGAATGTATACAAAGTGTTGGTTTTGAAAATATTTCAAAGAGATGTTTGTTTTTTGAAGATGTTTTTGAAAGTGTAAGTGTGAAAATGGTTTTAGTTTGTGAGCAAGCAACTACGAGCGTCCTACCTACTCAAAAAGTCTTTGTTCTTTTCATCCTCCTTTAGATATTGCTACCTTACCATTGATTGATAAGAAGTCCTATCTTTGGATGTGAAGAGACAAGCGCGGGTCAATCGTATAGTCATAGAAGACAACTTATGAGACGCTTTAGCAATTTTCGTAGGGACTAAGGTCGTTTTACCGAAGGAAATATCGAAGGGTCATCGAGGGACTATGATCTTTTTCATCGAGGGTCTTTTCTAAAGCGTTCATATTCGAGGGACATGACTATTTTCCGAGGCAACAAGTGAGGTTATCCTAGAGGTGCTTGTGTGAATTGTGTTTTGATTGCATGCATTTTTGCCTTTGAGATTAAAGTTTTCTAACAGTTACATTTATCTTGCCATACACACCCTAATTACTAACAATTATATGAAAGCGATAAATTTACGGAAATTAAAATTCTACGCTATTACATCATTAGGGGAGTGGGGGTACAATTTACAAATGGGGATGAAATAGATGTCCAATTATTACAACCATATCGAATAGTTGGACAGTAATGAAAAAAATCTATGAAAAATGTAAAGATAGTGTAAAAAGAAAGAAAAATTGCATTTTGAACTATTATGTATCGACACATGTTGCTATGCATCGACACATAACTCTTCTTGCTCCTGTAAAACAAAAATCAACTCAGTATGAGTCGATGTACAATGGGATGTATCGACTCATTCCACTTCCTGTTTCTGAAAAATCCCAAATCAACTCAGCATGAGTCGATGTATAATGGGATGTGTCGACTCATGCACTTGTTTGTATCGACACATACGCGTTTTATGTCGACTCATGCACTTTTCATCATTTTGTTTTGGGGCCTGGATAACAGTATGAGTCGATGCATAAGGCCATGTGTCGACTCATACCCTCTTTTGTCACTAGAATGAGTCGACCTATGTGGGTATGTGTCCACTCATGCTGCAGTTTTTTGCCTATATCATCATTCTTTTGCATGTACCAGTCAGTTTTCAACATATATTTGATAAAAATAAACGGAAAGTAAATGGTTAACTTCAAAGGGAAGTGATTACTATATTTTATCTTCATAAATGAACCAAAGATGATGTATGGAAAATGCGAAGTCAAGAAGACTTACCTTGAAACTTCACTTTCTGTTTTGAGTCTGAACACTTTTCAAGATGCTGTGTGGACTTCAATGAACCTCTTAAAATTTGTTGAACCTCCTTTTGTATTGAAAGTTGCTGAACCAAACTCCAAACTGTCAAGTTGTATAATACTGTCTTTTGTTTAGAAGGTGAAGATAAGGACACTACAGAAATTGTTCTTGTGCTTGAACAATCTCTATGTGATATGAAATGTTTAGCTGGTTTATGAGAGTGTTTGCAAGGTGAACAGTGAGTTGAGGATTTTTTGTTTAGGGAATTAAAATAGAGCAGAGTTTTTTGAATGAACAAGGTTACAAAGACTTCTATTTTCCCCCTCTTTTCTCTCTCAATAAAATCCACCCTTGTGTGTTGTGAAAAACAATTTATTTGTAGATGAAGTTGGCTGAAGTTTGGGAGGGAAACAGATGAATTTTTGAACTTTTTGGGTATGCTGTCTCATAGCCTTTTTGGGTGCAGCTCTTTATATGCTAACTTGGTGCAACCATGGGACTGATATGATGCAGATTTTTAGGGCATCATTGCAGGTTTTGGAGCAGACTGTGACAGCATAGCAGGGCTGTTTTTGTGGATTTAGTCAAGGGAAAAGTTCAAACAAGACAAGGCTTTAGGATTTGTAACTTAACAAATTTTAACTTAAAAAAATGCAGTCTTGTAATAACTTGAATTATTTGTAACATTCTTGAATTATTTTAAATTGTAGTGAAGAAAGATGTCATGAGGTAATGAAATTAATCATGTATGGAAAATACTTAGAAAATTTTTCCAAGTCTTGCCAAGTTTGATTTTTTAACCTTCTTGATTTTTGATGATCAAATTTCATGTTTTGAATGCCTTGATGACATGTGATTTTCGAAACTCAAATTTGACCAAAAAGTCAAAGTTTGACTTTTTAGTGTACAATTGACTTTTTCATCAGTTGACCAAATTTCATCTATCAATCCACTGATCTCGGGAGGTGAATTGAAATATGAGACTAGGTCAAAATGATGCACTTAAATCCTTGAGATCATATTTCAAACCAATAAGTCATGTACTAGGTCAAAAATCAAAGATTTGTCACTCTCAGTCAAAACCCCAATTTGTAGTCCCCACGCTTCGGAGATGATTTTGTCTGATCAATTCTTTGAGAATCCTTGAGAAGTAGAGATCATTTGTGAGGAATGTCTTGAAAAATGAGATGGCAAATTTTTGGGTACAACATCCACCTTTTCATCCATGTCTTGATTTCCAACTTTGCTTACATGCATATTAGAAGCTAGTAGCTTTGAATATTCATTAAAAGACATTGCTCCTTATATTTCAAAGAAACTGCAATTGTAAAATGATCTTCACTCACTTCAGTATAAGTATTAAATTAAGCAGAAATACCATTATCATCGAGCTGATTTTTGCAAATAATTGTAAGACTCTCATTCCAAAAATGCCCTTGTGCATATCCTTCATATATACCAAATTAATCATCACCATAATTTACTTCAGTATTCTTTATTGCCCCTTTGATAATTTTGGACCTTATCTCCTTAACAGAAATTGTCTCCAACTTCTTTAGTTTAAGAATGTTACCCTCAAGTTTACAAGGTATAGAGCTTTTATGCAAATTGTGTAAACTGGAACTTTTTACCTGAGAAAAGAAATCAATGAAAGGAGATGACTTACGTATTCCTGATGATTTTGTTGTCACTGTTTGGT